GAGAGAGAGAGAGTCACAGTATTAGCATTTATATTTTTAGAAATAGAAAGTATTACCTTTCAAATTGTGTATCATACATGTAATTTGGGCTTACAGTTACTCAGTTATTTGCTTTTACATTTGGGTATGCAAAATTTGGTGAGGATTACCCAAAAGTAGGTGGGTTTTAAGCATTTAGTCAGACCATCTGCTCCAGGTTGTGGTCCAACCTTTTCTTCTCCTAATGGGTTTGTTTTTCCCTCATTTCTTCCTGCTCAGAGGGAGTCACAGGCTTGAAGGAGCTGGCCTTCCTTAGAGACCTCGCCGAGCAGAACTCTGTGAAATACGGCGTGGACCGAACTCTGGAACGTGGGACTGTCAGAGTCCCCACCATGCCAGTGGTGAAGGGCAGCATGATGGTGCTGAACCAGCTGAGTAACCTGGAGACGTCAGTCGGCCGCTTTTACATAAACCTGCCCAACCGCATGATCGACTTGGTGCGCTTTAGCCTGCCCTACACTGATCCCATGGGAGACGGTGAGTTTGGATTCCAGCTTCCTCCCTAGCCACACATTGATACTGTTTAGTTTTATCTAAATTCATCCACCCTGTGTGGGAAGTCATTTTATGGCAGAGTGTGCTGTATAAAGTGGAAATGTGTCTTTCAATAAAGGACTCGCTTCCTTACGTTCATTTTACATCTCCTGCAGGTTTTATCATGACTGTGAGCCGGCCCTGTTACTTCGGTAACCTGCTCCTAGGCGTGGTCGGGGTGGATGTGAACCTGGCTTATATCCTCGAGGACGTCACCTACTACCAAGACTCCTTGGCTTCTTATACATTTCTCATCGACAACAAAGGTTAGACATAGAATCACTTTGTTGAACCAGTCCAGATCTCATACCATGTAACTCATATCTGCATGAAAGAGAAGTGAATCAGTAAGATTTTTATGGGGTAATGGGTTAAAAGCCAAGTTTGTTAATCTGATTAAATACTACTAGAGAGAAAAATAGGTAAGAATAAAAAAAAAACAAAAAAACAGTTAAATTGTGATATATTTAATAAAATTCTTGTTTTAATCTTTTACAGTACAAAATATAAATTCAAAACAAGTGATTAAAACCCCAATTTCTCTAAAATGAAACATTTAATGTAGTTTGACTAGTGTTTGATGTCATAAGAGCGTTTATGGTTGGTTTCTAATCTCGTTTTTAGTCAAACTAAAACCAGCTGGTATCAAAGTTAGATTATTCCAACTTTAGGACTCTTGAACTAATATCCAAAAAAGTTGACACAACAGGGTTTGTATTCATCCTCCGAATCAGACATTAGTTTTACAATAAAACAAAGACAACCTTCTTTAACATCTTTGATTAGCATTGCTAGCATTAATCCTTTAGCATTGATAAACGCATCTTTACCTAACCTTTGTCATTAAAATTCTGTTCCATTGAACACAGAAAATTAGAAGTTAGGATATAAAACAGAGCAATGTTGAAGTTTTCTGTTCTGCCTTCCTGTTTTCTGCTGAAAGTCTCACTCTCTATCTCAGACTAAATGATTTGCATTGTTCCCTGGTTTTAGCCTATTTGCTTCACCTGACTTTATATTTAACACACATGTTTAATAATAGCATGAAATAATAACAATTTTAAACTTTGTGGATCTTCCAAGGTTACACCCTGATGCACCCTTCACTAACCAGACCATATCTGATGACGGAGCCGCCGCTGCACACAGATATCATCCACTATGAGAACATCCCAGGATTCCCTGCTGTCCGACAGAACATCCTCAGGTGAGGAAACATAAAAAAGTGTTCTGAAAATAAAATTTAAAAAGCTGCAGATTAATTTCCCATGCGAGGAATTAGTGTGATATTTTGCATATATTTGTTTGATCCACTGTGTTCTGTTTTTGCAGCCTGCCTTTAGGCAGTCAGGTCATTGCTGTGCCTGTCAACTCGTCCCTTTCCTGGCACACCAACCGGCTCAGGGACAACAGCGGAGATGCGTACAATGTCAGCTATGCCTGGAAACTGGTAGGTGTTTAGTTGGTCTGAGGCCCGACCGCTGTAGGCGAATCAGATCTATTCCTGTTTGCCTCAACCTGAATCACATTATAATCGTACTGCCTTCTGAAGAACTGCCAGGAACTCATCCTTCACCCTCTAAAATCAGTCAGCATATAAAAAATTAATTCTGCCGCAACACCTACCTACCTAGTCATTTTTTCTTAAAATAAGTGCATTTTTTCTTGAATTGAGGAGGTAAGTGAGAGCCTTTGCCAATGCAACAAGACAATTTACATTTGGAATAAGAAAGAATAATTGTATCGTCTAATTTGAAGTGCAGATTAGCTTATTTTAAGAGTGAAAATACTCATCCTATTTGCCTACTCAAATTAAGGGCAAGTACACCTAATTGAAATTTTTCTTTTCCTTATTTCTTGTTCATTTTTGCAGTGTAACTGGACTCCATCATCATCACAACACTTTTTTTCCCTGCTTCCTGATGTTTAGACTGTTTTGAAAAGAACAGCACCATCACCTTTAACTTAAAAATGCCTCTTTAGCTTATTTCTAAATACTTTCTGGCATTAAGTTATTTTTGTACAAACCTTAGCACTGGTTCAGAAGCATTAGGTTTGACATGAGTTTGGCAGCACTGTGTGTGAGTTTTTAATGGGCTTTCCAGATGCAGAACATCAGTGAAATGGCTTTAAGAAAATATAGAATTTGTTCTCCACCCACGTTTCCCCTTTTTGCAGTGGAAACAATATCCAGTCATATTTGAAGGGGTGGTTGTCCTCCATTTTCTCTCTTTTTTTCATTTTTAAGATTGAGCTGGATCTTCATAAAACCTGTTTTTTAGTACCATACTTCTGATAAACTGCCTAATTTAGGTGAAGATAATGTGATGCACAAACAGTATGGAGTTCATTCAAAAAAATGTTTGACAAGCAGTTTTTAAAGGTTGATCTTAATCTTTCCTATAAGCTATAAAACACCAGTAGCTGCAAAGTTGAGTTGGTCTCTAAAAACATGAAGTTTCTCCTCTAAGTATGCAAAGATTTATTAGGATGTAGAGTAGAGAACAAATTCCCAAAGTTATGGTTCCTTCTTAATAGTGATTGACCGCTACAGTTTTTTTAAAAATCAATTTTTGTTTTTTGGGCCTATGCAGATTATTTTGACATCCATCATCCTCCAGATGTGCGAATTTTACGGGGTCTGATTTTTTTTTTTCTTTTAAGCTGATATGCCTTTTCAGCCATTATATACAAAACAAATAATTTGTTGGAAGTGGCGGCCTAGTTGTTATGGCATAGAGCTAGGAATCCTGAGGTTCTGAGTTCGTGCCCCCCTCCCAAAGACTGCCACTCCCCGGGTAGCCCACAATGCAAGCCCACTGCTCCCCAAAGGGATGGGTTAAATGCACAGGTAAATTTCTCCAATTTGAGATCAATAACAATAAAATGAAAATGATACAATTATAACAAAATGTTACACAAGACTCAATTTAGACAAAGAAGAAGCATTTATTAGTAAAAACAAAAATTAGTAATAGATAGAAAATGGGAGGCATTGCGTTCACTCATGTGATCTAAAGGCATGGCTGCTTATTGCACTTATAGTCTGACAAAAGTGTGCGTTTATCAGCTGATGTAGTGGGCTACGTCTTATTAATGACAATATGCATAAAAGCTTTCTCTGTTCCTCTGCTTTAGGTCCAGGATACGTCGTTTATTCTGTGCATCGTGTACGTACAGCCAGAGATCCCAGTGAAGCAGCTGAAGAACCTGAACACAGCTCCCAGCTCTAAGCTGCTCTATCATCGCTTAGACCTGCTAGGCCAGCCCAGTTCCTGCCTGCACTTCAAGCAGCTCGCCACTGTTGGTAAGAAGAAAGAAACTCTAAATTCAGCAGACCTTTTATTTTAGTACCACTTTGTCTAACTCAGTGGTCCCTCTTTCCTAGAATCCCCCACAGTAATGCTGTCAGCTGGGAGTTTCTCCTCTCCTTATGAGCATCTGAGTCAGCCGGAAACGAAGCGGATGGTGGAGCACTACACGGCCTACCTTAGTGATAACACCAGGCTTATTGCCAACCCAGGCCTCAAGGTATACATACTTTTCCACAGTGGTCAGTTAATGTGTTTCCTTAACAAACAATGGCACACGCCTTACCCTGAGGTCACGCTGGACACCAGTTTGCATATCCTTTTGATAAGTAGAACAGATGAACTACGTCTTAAACCTGATTCTGAGATGTTTTTAGGTGGATTGAGATTCACAGGGTTTTATGCAGTTCCACTTCAGACCTCTGAGGTTGTAAAGATGATATGTGACTTTAAGAAGTTTGGCATTCTGTGTGCATTCCTGTCCTGGGGGGAGGAGGAGCTCTAAAGCTGAGTCCCAGCACAGATTCCCAGGCTAGTCTTAAAGACCCCCTCCAGTGACCTCATCAGCCTTTTCAAACTCAGAATGGTTCTGGACTGGGATTTCTCCAGGCCTAAGGATTAATCGCTCCACAAACGTCACCTCATAGATGGACTCTCTTTTTTCCTTTCTTTTTCTAACACCTCTTTCATTAAGAAGAGAGACATTTAGTCGTTTTGTTCTCAAAGCAAAGATAAAAAGCTTTTCACAATTTACATTAAAGCTGAAACCAAACAAAATGTATCCAACTTTCTTGAACCCCTGCTGCTGCTCTTCATCCTTCATCCCTCCTTGCTTTCCTCTCCACAGTCCTCTGTCAGGAACGAGGTTATGGCGACCAGTCATGTTACGGATGAGTGGATGACACTAATGGAAATGAGTAGCCTCAACTGCTACATTGTGCGGCGTTACATAGCAACACCCAGCGGGGTGCTCCGGATTTACCCAGGATCACTGATGGACAAAGCATTTGACCCGACCCGGAGACAATGGTGAGGTTTACTTAGTGAGTCTGAGGCGGGGGGGCAAGATGATATATTAAAGGTGTTTGAATTTTTGTTTGAAGGCAGCGAAAGGTAATCCTAGATGGCTATAAAATTTGCTTCTCTTAAAAAGATATTAATATGTTTTATTTAGTAAGCAGTGACAAATGTTTTTTTGTTTTTTTTTGTTTGGATTAACTGTCTTGCTGTGTTTAAATGCATAATAACCTAATTTTTATCGATGGATTGATAGTCTTTTTTTTGTTATTATATAGATTTATTTACATAATACAACCCTTGCTGACAAAGTTAATGATTAAATAAAATAAGACAACATGAGATGTTTTTGTTTAGATGACTATCTTTAGTGTTGCGTTCTTAACATCTTCTGAACATCCGGAAAGAACATAAATATTTTTTCACACTAAAATGAGAGTCAATAAAAAAGTTCAGATTTAGGCCTCTATGCTATTTAAAGAGAAAGTTCTGCATTTGACATATTAGCGCTTTTCTTCAAACAAATTTTAAGCTTTCGAGTTTCTATCATGTTCTCTTGGTTTCTTTTTTTGCTATCCTGAAAACAAGTTTTTTTCTGAAACGGTTGCAGTTTTTGTTGTTTTTCGTTGAAAAAAGCAACTTTTTTCTAAGTTAACCCATAGTTAGGTTAGGGCATAGGGCTTTGAATCCTGAGGTTGTGAGTTTGATCCCCCACTCCCACAGACTGCCACTCTGGGTCCCTGACCCTTAACCCCACACTGCTCCCTGGGCGACGCACAATGGCAGCCCACTGTTTCCCAAGAACATGGGTTAAATGCAGAGAATTCATTTCATTGCTCTGTACTTGTGACAGTGGAATGACAATAAAGTTGAATTCTATTATTTAATATCAGGGTTTATATTTCATTCAGATCTTGATGATTTTAAATGCCACAATTCAGAAGTTTTTTCAGTCTTTTTTTTTTTTTACTCCCCAGTTCATTACATAGTATGTGTTTGATTGGAGTAAACTATGATAATTATGGTTTAACTGTTATGAAAACTCAAAATCAGTTTATCAGAAAATGTTATCTTGCGTCTAATGAAAAGTTTCATTAGACGCAAATTTATAATAAAGAAACGTTACGGCCTACAAAATCATGGTGACGTAGAAGGCTGTTTAAACAGCTGTTTGCTCACATGTTAATGAAAAGTTAAGTGGAAGGTAAAACTGTGGTAGAAAACTGAATCTCTGAAAGCATTCAGTCATAAAAAAATCACATTCATTGGGAGGAAAAGTAACAGTGTGTGGAAAATCTGTTCTCGCTATTTCAATTTTATTGAGTAAATTCAGATTTGATTGATAACTCCACGCTCCTCTTTTCATCTTGATAAGACATAAATGAACCGTCTGACTGTTTCCTACAGGTACCAGCATGCTGTAGCTAACCCTGGCCTCATCACCTTCACCGGCCCTTACCTGGATGTTGGCGGCGCGGGTTACGTCGTCACCATTAGCCACACCATTCATGCCTCCAGGTAAAACGAAACAGCAGGAGTCGCCTGTATGGAGTGTGTGATTCTGAAGAGTAGGCACCATAGAGCCAGAGTGTGAGGAAGCAAGCCTTCTTTATGTCAGTGGGGCATTTCAGTAGAGCTCTTCCATCTCTGGAATCAGGAAGTAACTGACTGCCTCTTTTGTGTATTTGCAGTGAGTGAAGTAATCTGCGTTCTGCTGTACGTCTTCAAATCTCCTCTTTCAAAGGATAATCAGTTGTAGTGCCATAAACTCCAGTAGTGAAAAACAAAGAAAAATGGAAGATTTGATGGTTCATTGGTGCAAAACAGATTGAATAACGTCTATAAAGGGTCCTGGGTGAAGATTACGATGTTTATTTCTGTCAGTGAGCCTAAATAAAACAGGGCATTATCGCCACCGGGTTGCTTACAGCTCCACAATCCAAACTGTTTATCGGAGTCCCTCAGAGGATTCTGGATGTAAATAAACCCCCAGTGTTAGGGTGAGTGTAAGGCAGGGTTTATGTTTTGTAGTTGGATTGTTCAGTGAGTTTGTTGGACTCAAACAGATTTCAAAATAACCTGGATTTTCAGTGTGGAAAGGTTGTCATTGTTTTGAAGAGACTTGTATAAAAGATTGACTACTTGCAGGATTCCTCACAGAATTTTCATTTTTCAAGCTTTTGTTCCTGTTTTTTTTTTTTTTTTCCCTCTCCATTTTTCTCCTTTTATTCCTGTTCTGTCTGCAGCTCTCAGATGGCCCCCGGTTACGCGGTTGCAGTGATGGGTATAGACTTCACCCTGCGCTACTTCTATAAGGTCCTGCTGGATCTGTTGCCCATCTGCAACCAGGACAAAGGCCGTAAGATCAGGTAGGAAGAGGGTCGTTATTTAACTTGTCCTTGCAGAATATTCACCCTTTTTTCACCTATATTGCCCCTGGAGGCCAGGTGAGAACAAAAGTTGCTGAGAAATAGAGAAGACAACAGAAAGAAGGGAGATAAGCTGATTATCCAGTCTCCTGTAGGAGATCTGCAGCCATCTTTTCTTTCTTTTGATCCCTCATCCCCACCCAATTCTCTGTTTCTCTGGCGTTTTTTCCCCCTTGTCTCTTCTCTTGCTTTCATGAGCCATGAGAAACAGCTACAGTTTGCAACAGGAAACATGTGGTAAAATATTTAAGGAACAGTTAAACTATGTCCAGTTAAAAGGGGCTGTTTTAGAGGGGGAAGGAAGGAGATGATATTTTGGATGCCGTATAAATCTTTTGATATTTATCCTGTGATGCAGGTGCTTCATAATGGAGGACAGAGGGTACCTGGTTGCTCACCCAACTCTCATTGACCCCAAAGGTCACGCCCCGGCAGAACAGCAGCACATAACACACAAGGTAAAAGATTCAGCACTAAATAACGAGGGCCCATTAGGATCTCAGTCGTAAGATAATTTAAGTATTAAATTATAACCTGCTCTAGATTAAACCAAGTATTACGCTGCAAATAAAAGGCAAGGAGAAAATACCTGGCAGTTTGGTTTTTCCATGCATCACTCAAAGCTTTGAAACACTGTTTCAAAGCATACAGCAGTTTCACTGAAAAAAATAATGCAACCATTTTTGGCATTTCTTTACTCATATTTAGTTACTTTAACACATTTGTTTCATGTTAGCAGAGTAGGACATTAAACAATTGTGTTAAAGTAACCAAATATTATTAAGTGCTGTTTAAACATGAGGTTAGAAGGTTTTCTTCACACAAAATCACTCTTTCTTTTTCTGCCTGGTTTGTTTAGGAGCCACTTGTAGCCAATGACATCCTGAACCATCCCAACTTTGTCAAGAAAAACCTTTGCAACAGCTTCAGTGACCGCACAGTGCAGCGCTTCTACAAGTTTAACACCAGCATAGTGGTAAGTCAGACAATATTACTGTGTTATACTGCCATCTTGTGGTGGAAGGTGGTACTTTCTACTAATTATTTTATGTTGTCCAGCAAATTACTTTAAGTCCTGTGCCTTTAAAAATGTGTTTTGATGTGTAAATTAATAAGAATTATAATAATGTAGTGTAAATTGTTGGTTTGTTTATTGTTTTTTTATTTTCTTTCATTGTTTCCTGTGTTTAATGTGGGCAATTTACCAAAAATAAAGTAATTGATTGATTGGTTGATTGATGATATGTGTAAGATAATAAAATCAAGATATAAGCTTTCATCTGGTTTTGATTCCTACGTCCTCAGGGTGACCTCACCAACCTGGTCCATGGCAGCCATTGCTCCAAGTATCGCCTGACCAGAATCCCTGGTACCAATGCATTTGCTGGGATTGTCAACGAGACATGTGACTCGCTGGCTTTCTGCGCCTGCAGCACGGTGGATCGTCTCTGCCTCAACTGCCACAGGTGATTGCACACAAAACCAAAAGTGAAGCTAAATGTTGAAGTTTCATTAAGCTTTTTGTAGTTTCCTGCACAGCTCAGGAAGGTGATGAACATACTCTTTAAAGTTTTCCTTTTTTATTACAACTAACTGATGGATTTATTTATGCAGGATGGAGCAGAATGAGTGTGAGTGTCCGTGTGAGTGTCCTCTGGAGGTCAATGAGTGTACAGGCAACCTCACCAATGCTGAAAACAGGTCAGTCACACAGATGAAGCTAAATGTTTTTATAAGGGGGGGAAACAAGTTTGCTTCTTGAATGATATAAGTAGAGGTGACCAGGATTGGAGAAATTTGTTGGTGGAGGCAAGTAATGAACAAACTGCTTGGAAACATGCATCCTCATGATGCTGCTGGATTGGATGTGAAGGCAGAGCAGTGGATGTCCAGAAGAGGGCGCAGGAGGACAGAGGGAGGGATGTTCTAGCGCTGATCTTCTCCCAGTCTGACGGCAGAAAAGGTTTCATCTCCCAGTAAAATATCAGGAATTTGTTCACATTTAAAACTTCCCTCTGACTTCGACAGCCTTCTTCTTCTTGACATTGTGGCCTTACAGTGTGTGTCTTTGTCACGCTAAGAGCCTTTCTGCAGACTGCACCCTGTGTTTAGCTTCCTTCACAATTTCGTTCTGGGTTGATCTTATCCTGGCTTCATCCTCAGACTGGTGTTCCAGCATCGACCACTTAGTGGCAGACTTGAGCTTCAGTATTCCCTGGAATCTTCCATACCATCCTGAACTTCTTTCCTTGATACAGTTAAAGGTTTTGGCTTAATATAAAGTGTCTAACATGGAGCTTCTGACCTACGGTTTGTTTCTATGTGTAATCCTTAAAGGTCGTTTCTGTTCCAGAAAACAAACTAATTTAAAGGACGTCCACTAGTTTTGAAAAGCTTTACCGCTCACGCCTAAAGCTTATTGGTGTTCATAAAAAAAAAACATGTAGCTGAGATGACTGCTAAGAGATGTTTAGTAGGTAATACTGGAGCTGAATGGGAATATTTGGCCATATCCGTGTAACTGGATGAATCTCCACCTGTCAAAGAATTTTTGTCCCAGGCAGGAAAAAAAGAACACATTTGTCTTTTTTTATTCATGTTGCACTTACTAAATGCAAAGATAAACAAAACATTTATGATAAAATAATATTTGTATAAAGTCTGGCTTCATATTGAGTGTTATTTTAATGAAAAAATATTATGATCTGGAAAAATGTATTAATATTTCATTCATTTTTCATAAAAAAGAAAAATCAGTGAATCAGTGTAATTTCCACCACAACATGAAACTTTGTTCAATTCAATTTATTTATATAGCGCTAATTCACAACACTAGTCGTCTCAAGGCACTTTACAATCAAATTGATTCAGTTTTATTTTTTTTTATCTTTGTTTACTTTCATCCTCATCAGTTGTGTTGTAAAAGTAGAGCTCATAGCAGGGTTAGCTACATGGAAGGAAGAGAAACAATAAAAAAAAAAACAAGATTAGGTTTATTGGTCATCATTTCTAAACACCTAATATTTCCTTTTAATCTGCAACTATTGAGGAAAAATATAATTTTATATTGACTATTTTAAACCATTTTTAATTCTAGTATGTTGTATTTTATGCCTGTGTGATTCATGACAGTCTTTTCCATCGTGAAATATATATATATATGTACATATTATATAAAATATCATATTTATGTAATTTCATTAACAATCAGTTAATTTTTGTACACATTGTGATAAAGTAGAACTAATGAAAATATTTATTTTTATATTTTAGTTGAATTTTCTGAAATAAAATGGCCCTAGTTGGAGAATCACCCAAATATAACTGTTGATTAGAGAAGCTCTGCAATAAATGCATGTCATCTTATAATCCTTCCTCCTTTGGAATAACCAGATCAACCCATAGCAGACGGGTAACCATAGATGCAGCCCATGTTATTAATGTTAGATTAACATCACTCTGCTTTAATACTAAACATTTATCTGTCCATCAGTTTATCCTTACAGAGATGTTAGTTTTATCACATCATACATGCTCTGAGTTGATTTATATGGATGTTATTGTGGGTTTCCTCACCACCTCTTCTCTTTCTCTCACTGCCTTTCCATTTTTCCTCACTGCGCCTGCCACTCCACATCTGTCCATCATTCTGTCTGTCATTCTTGTTGTGTTTCACCCACTTCCTTTCATCAGCCATCAGCTGCCTATGACAACACGTCAATGTCTCAGATCCCTGCTTTATGCAACGAGAAATTTTACTGTCAGTTTCTTGTCTTTTCTTTTTGTGTCGCTGTTCTTTAACAGACCGCGTATGACAGTGTTAAATCCCCCAGTTATCTGCTTTTGTTGCATGTAATTGTGTTACGTGCCCGTGATTTGAAAGCCTGAGTTGTGTTGACCACCTCCTTTTATTGTGACTAAAAAGGTCCCATTTTTTTTCTTCCTCTTTCATGGTGTCGGTTTGTTTATACAGGAACCCCAGCTGTGAGGTGCATCAAGAACCAGTCAGCCTCAATGTGATTGATCCCAGTCTGCACGACACTTTGCCCCAATGCATCAACACCCGCTGCAGCCAGAGATTCACCAGCAGGTGCTTATGCTCACTGCATGATCGATAATCAAATAAATTCAAACTAGCGCTCCCTGTTCTATTTTTAGTAGTTAACCTGACATTACTGCCTGTTAATAGCATACTACCCGTTAGTGGTAACTGAGAGCAAATGAAGCAAATCCTAATGATACAATTACTTTAGCTACAAACAGTAAACCTTCTGCATCCACTCAGGAACCATCTGCAGCATGATTTAAAACTTCAATCTCTGTATTCTGCTCTGTGCTTCAGTGACTGTTTCGGTGTGTTGGACTGTGAGTGGTGCATGGTGGACAGTGATGGTAAGACCCACCTGGACAAGCCATACTGCGCCCTGCAGAAGGAGTGCTTTGGGGGCATTGTTGGTGCCAAAAGTCCGTATGCAGATGGTCTGGGACTTATTGGTGAGTTGAAACAAGATTCATCAAATAAATGTAAATTTTTTCCCAAAATTATTCAGAAAAAAACAAAACAAAAATACAAGCTTAGAAATGGACACTTTCTGTGTGAGTTAATAGAGCGTTATTAATAAGAAAGATGACTGTCTATGCAAATATATGCATTAGTGTCTGAATTTGAACATGTAAGTCACGACATGTGGATACATTTATTAAGGATTTATATTTGTTCTTTGTCATTAACATATACATATATGTAACACAATATGTTTTATCAGTGAAAAAGTAGGTTTAGAGGCTTCAAGAGAACTGGAATGAATTTTATTCCATTATTGTTGCAAGCAAAAAAACACATTTTTGAAATTAAAATATGGAGAAAAAATATGTGAAGCCTTTTTTGATAAGGAAGTTTTTCATAGTTTCATTTCTGGTTTAAATATTTTTCAAAATTTCCATTCACAACACATGTTTTGTTTTGTTTTTTTCTAGTAATACAATATGTTTTTTCCTTGTTTTTTCAAATTTCCATTTACGATTTTTTTTTTCTGATTTAAAGAACATTTCTATTTACATACATTTTTTTCCCTCGTCCTTAAATTTACAAAACATGTTTTTTTTGATGTAGTTGTTCCTTTGTTGGTCAAATTTCAACCTATAATATATTTTTTATTTATTTTCGAAACACTTTATTTCAGATTTCTATTTGCAAATGTTTTGTTTTTTAAATTTCCATTTACATTACCATTTTGCTCTATTGTTGCAACAACAATAGAGCAAAACCCGTTCCACAGAAAACAGTGTTGCAAATTCTGCAAAAATACAGGTGCCAATGATAAATTTATGATTCCAAATCTACAAACCTGAAGCTGTGATACTCCTTACCAGTTGGAGTCAATTAATGCGAAGAGGAATATAAAGAAAACAAACCATTTATAGATCATATCTTTGCTGAAAGGTTGTTTTTAGCACATGTACACTGTAAAGTTTAGGATGAGTCCGAATGTCCACCCGAACCACTTTATAGAGGTTACGCCATTTTTCATCTAGAGGATGAAAAAGTTGTGGACTCAAAATTTCCCACAATGCACCATGAAAAGTAGTAATCATCCATGGTCACTAGATGAGAAGATATATCCCATAATGCTTTGCGAGGAGAGCTCTCCTCGCAAAGCATTATGGGATTTGCTGTGACGGTGGCCCGCTGTTTCCATTGGCTGTCACTGCCCGACAGTGGCGACAAATATGACACAGGCACTGTGCGAGGAGGTGGAGTTACGTGACCATCTGGGAGTGAAAAGTAGTGATCATCTGTTTAAACGGTTAGTTGTCTGAGTTCACTATAAAGTCCACTATAACGTCCCCCCTCTATATAGCGATCGAGGGATTTAGGGGTTAGGGCGAACGTTCGGACACTGCCTTAATCCATGGTTCTGTCTTCATCTTCCCCTTTAAAAGTGATTGGCAAATAACATGTAGGTGCATTAGTGCCACCAACTGGTAAGTAGTGTAGCAGCTGGATCAGGGTTTGTTGATTGGTGCTGGGATTCATTGCATCTTTGCAGTTTTTATCTTGGGTTCAATAAACAAACACAATTAAATTCATTATTGACTTATATTTACAAAGTCAGTCACCAACACATTTTATTGACAGTAATCCTACCCCATACGTTGACCCTTTTATCCATGAAACGTTTCTGTTTCTTGGATATTTTCTCAACAGCTCCAGCACTAATAATAGAACAGAAAGTGTACCAGCCTTACAGCAGGCGTTCATCCGAGCGCAGTTTGATTTTGCCTCGTTTTCAGGCTTATAAAAAAGCTTTTTGTTCTTTTTGACCAATCTTTTTTCCTCGTCCTTCTCATTGCTTCTTTCACAGATGAGGAAGTGGCGCCTTTGAACATGATCAAGAGCGCCCCTGTGGGTCCGGTCGCTGGGGGTATTATGGGATGCATCATGGTGCTGGTGCTGGCGGTGTACGCCTACAGACACCAGATCCACAGACGTTCACACCAGCACATGTCCCCACTGGCTGCACAGGGTGAGTAAAAGGTCAACTAAAAGTAACATTTTGTTGAAAGGAGTGTATTTGCAGTTAATCTGAGTAGGAAAGTAAAATGATCAACCAATGGAATACAAATCAAGAATATCTCCATCAAATTATAATTGTAGCAAATGTAATTATCTTATTAAAGGGGTCAAATTAATCTTCCCATTGGCAGATCGTTTTACTAACTTGTTCAGTTGCAGAGCAAATCCACTTATTTCAAGAGATATTTCCCAATTCTAAGATCTACTGTCAAAGTGGGATTAGATTTCTGTGTTTGAGATTTTGTCTCATTCCTCTCTATAAAAAAAGAAAGGCACCTGGACAAGCCAAACAAGAGTTACAATGCTTCATGAAAGTATTAATACTCTTTAAAGTTTAAATATTTATATATTATATTAGGATTTTATGTGGTTGACCAAAACACAGTAGTTTACAAATGTTAAATGGGAAATAGAAATAATTTTTTGATTTTAGTTATTGGTTTCAAATGAAAAGTTATTGTTTTTTTCCCCCTTTCATTTTAATTCCAAGAGCCACTTTTACCATTTGACTTTCTACAAATCTAAAGAAAAGCTCATGTTTTAAGATTTTTATTTAAGAAAACAACAACTTTGATTTCAACTAGATAATATGCAATTCCTTTTTTTTTTTTCAACAATCCCATCAACATTGTTTTAGTGTTATTAGTTAGGAATACAAAAGCAGAATGTAAAAAAACAAAGCAGGTTGCTTCCATGATATGAAATGTGAGAGTTAATCAAAAAAGATTTGCCCTAAAACCAAATCTTATCTTTTTTATTATATTAATTGTAAACATTTGTTAATATACATACAACTTTATTCAGTGTGAAGATATTAAACTTTAGATTTAAAATAAAGGGTTTCATTTTAACAGCTGCTTCTTTAGGTGTCTCTTCTTCTGCAGTCTGTTTTTTTTTTTTTACTTATGCTCCTTAAAATCCTCCATACCAAAAAATTGTTGAATATTAAGCTACTTTCAAACAGGTGCTCCCACTTCCCAATCAGTCAGTCAGTCAGGTACGTTTCATCAGCAGCTCCAACCTGCTACTTGATCACTTATTTATATTCAAGCCAGCATGTAAGCAGTTCACTTTTCACCTATTCTTTTCTTTTTCCTCTGGATTTGTTGGAATAAATTAGTTTCATAATACATCAAGTGAATAAAAAAAAATGTTTGAATCTGAATTCCCGATGGGTAGACATATTCTAGCACTTTCTGTGGTGCTTGTCATTATTATTTTGAGGGCATGTCACTGTCTTTTTAAAACGTTAAACAGCTAAAACCTTTAAAAAGCTGTAAAATGCTTTGATTGCTTTCAGAAGTTCAGAAAGGCCAAATTGTTGAAAAAGCTGGAGTTAAAGTAAAGAATTCAAATGATAAGAGTTGGAGTTTGAAGTTGCAGCATTTGGGTGCATGTTTCCTTCTGCAGTTAATATAACATATAATGAGGTCCCATCTATTCTTTGCTTAGGGCGTCTCCAGCAGTGATCTATCAAGTGCTAATATGACCGAAGTTATGAAAGCATTAGTTTTACATTTCCCTTCTTCTTTAACAGATGATCCATCAGATGATCCACTTTGACACTACAAAAACTTATCCAGAAATAAATGTCTTAAAATAAATATTTGTACCTTTATAACAAGAAAATTAATAAGGCTTAATAAGGTAATAGATTTTCTTATTGTAAACATTTTATTCCATTTGCATATTGTCTTACAGCCAAATTCAAAAGAAAATACACTTCCTTTAAGACAATTTGACTTATACAGATTTATATTTTTGCATTTATCAACATCATGATGCAGTTTTGTCCTTATTTTTTTGTTATTTTTCTCTCCTTTTCCTGCAGAAATGTCTGTGAGGATGTCTAACCTTGATAACGAACGGGACGAGAGGGATGAAGACAGTCATGAGGACAGAGGAATCAGTAAGTGCTCCCGCCTGCTGTTTAGGAAGGTTTCTTTGGAGTTCTTCACTCACCTGTTTGCTCTCTTAACTTCCAGTCAGCAACACCAGATTCATAGCTGCAGTCATTGAAAGACACACTCACAGTCCTGAGAGGAGGCGGAGGTACTGGGGGCGGTCAGGGACAGAGAGCGACCACGGTAAGGCTTCACGTACACATACACTCGCGTACAATATGTTTGACCTCTGTGTGGGTTTAGTTGATCACATCAAAGGGGGATAAAAACAACCTTAATATAAGGAATTTAAGTTATTTTATTCTCTTTATTCTCTTTTATTCCTTAAACCCAGTTTCCTTTAAATGAAACAACGTATTAAACATTTTTTTTTAAACTATCAAATCTTGGGTCTAACTTTGTGGAAGCGGTTAAATTCCTGACAGTTTAAAGACTGTATTCAGGGTATCCCCAAACTAAAACATACAGGGAACAATGATCCATCGTTTTTACTTCCTTTGTAGATTCATAATTCAACCAATTAATTTAATTTTAAATATTATTTTTATGCCACTATTAAGGCCTTTTTGAAACCATAGCGATTGGACGTAACATCAAGACAAGATACAAAAAGAAACTGAATACTTTCAAAACAAGCAGATATAAAATATGCAAACATGTGGCAAAACACCACAACTGCATATCGGCCTAAATAAACCATCCCCACTGTTAAACATGGAGGTAGCAGTATGATGCTGTGGTGAGGCTGCCTAGGTTGACCTTAGAATCAAAGTTATAACAAATGTTACGTTGCATTCAGGTCAAGCGTTCAAAGGTAGGTGCTTACAGAGTCTCTGTTTCCATTTCATCGAGATGCTTTGTAAACGAGAATGAGAAAAAAATGGTAGGGTTTGTTTGTTTATGCAGAACATTCATGGGAAGAATATGCGGCAAGATAGTATTAAAGAAAATAAAAGAAAGCTTGATTACAAGCTTAAGCTAATAATGATTACATACGTCAGTCACAGGCAACTTTAACCAAACAAGTTTTTATCTTGATGTAAAGCAGCTGGGGGGGGGTTTGCAGTTTTCCTGTAGTTTATTCTATGTTTGTGGAGCATAAGAAAAAAAAGCCACTTCTCCTTAACTGGTTCTGGATATGGAAAGTAGGTTTTAGGCAGAAGACGCGAGAGGTCTGGGTGTTTGGTAAACCTGCTCTCTGGATGCATTAAGCTTGTAACCCTCCCAACGAAAAAAAAAAAAAAAAAAATCAAAATTTAGAAAAGAAATGCATATGAAATGTATTTAAGGTTTATTTTTGAAGAATTGTTGAACGCGTTTGATCTTATTATAAATACAGTGTTTATTTACTAAACATGTTAACATCAACCATGCAATGTGGAAACGTTCGTGCTTTTAAAGCTTTTTCAGGGAACTACAGAAACTGTGAGACAGTGTACAAAAAAAGCTTCCTATACATGCGTTTCACATCTTCAATGGTTCCTATCACATCTTCCTCTCACTCCCGGCTCCCTGGCATCAACTGAGCTCTCCTTTTATTCTTTACATTAATCACAAACCTGAACCCAGATTGCCTCCCAGCTACAGCCTGAGCTGACTGGCTCATGGTCTCTTTTTCAGGTTTTTCTAAGTCTGACACTTGCTGTGGACGAACACTTTCACCCACTCAGGCTCTCTGCCTCCCACATATGTGGCATCATTCCACTTCCTGGCAACAAGGATCTCTGGTACTTGTTGCATAACGGATGTTTGACGAAGAACAAGGGTGAACATGAAGAGAAGAGAGTGGGCTAAAATGAAACAGAATCAGAGAGTGTAATCTTTTTCGCTGAATGTAGCGCCACAGATTGGGAAACAACAAACGGGTTAGAACAGTTTCTGGTTGTTCTCTTTGTGCTTTTTCTGCATGCAGCCCACTCCACACCTTTTAGCACCATTGGTAAAACAGCTTAAAGTAAAGCTTTTATTTCAGCAGCATTATCTAACATCAATTTGGAAAAAGTCAAACCTAAACTGGATTACTGGAGCCACAGGTGTCCAAGCCTTCACGTTCTCTGTAAAATAAATGTAACTGTCAACTGTAAGCAGTTTCTGCCATACATAATAATGCTGTTAGTATACTAATTTCAGCTTATTTATATAGCACCAATTCAAAACATGTCAACTCAAGGCACTTTACTGAGACAATTTAACGAGATCAGACTATTTAAACGAGAAAAAAAAAGCAGATCTAACAAATATTGTAGAATAAGAGAAAAGGAGAAATGAATAAGAGAAAAGAGAATGATGAAAAGCTGCCCCTATATCTTCCTTTTAGGATAATTATCATACATGATGTGTGATGTGCTGAAACTGGTCTTGAGTGACAACATTCTGGTCTGTGAAGTTTTGATTGTGATTACATTTGATTCCTGATTAATGCTACATCACCATTGGGACTGTTGATTGTTGATCCATGATCCTATGATGTTGAAAGAAACGGCGCTTAAAGTTTTCTTCTATGATTAATATCCTGGTCATGAGCAGACATTAATGGGTTTGTTTGAAGGTGACTTTGAAAACGTCACCTTTTCAGGGGGAATTGTCAAGATATTTATCATTGATGATGTGTGAGTTTATTATACCTTGGTATTGGCTGCCTATTGCATGTCAGAGCTGATGTTTTAATCTAATTAGGACAGTTCCTCTGTCTGGATATACATCTATAAAATGCCATTTTAACTGTTAATCAGGGCCACTTCCTCAGAGGTGAGCAGCTGCCATTCTGTGAACTCTAAGCAATTTCTCTGATCTGAGTAAGATTACAATTTCTCTCAGAATCTGTTGTCATGTCTCCTGGTTATTTAATACATATAAGTCATACAGTGTTATTTAAAGAGTTTGTCCTGAGTGATCTCTTTTCAGGGAAAAGAACTGGACAGATGATGCACACATCTATCTTTGATACTCCAGCAGTTTAAGCCTATAGCAGCATAACTATAATATTTATCAAAAAGGAAAGTTTTAAGCCCAGCCTTAAAATCAGACAGGGTGACTTCCTCACTGACTCTTTCACAGGAGAGGAGTCTGATAACTATGTAAAAGAACTGCCTCACGTTCTACTTTTAGAATTTCTAGGATCCATTAGTAATCCTTATGTTCCTCTGTTAGGAACATAATGAATAATAAGATCTGCAATATCAGATGGGGCTTGGTTATTTAGGGCTTTATATGTGAGGAGGATTTTAAATTCTATTTTGAATTTAACCAGAAGCCAATGAAGAGCAGCTAAGATAGGAGAGATATGTTCTCTCTTTTTTAATTTTCATAAGAACTCTGGCTGCAGCAATTTGCATCAGCTGAAGGCTTTTATAACTACAGTTTGTGAACTTTCTGATGGCAACAAATTACAGTAGTCCAGCCTTGAAGTTACAATTTTCTGCAGTATACTGGAGACGAAAAAAGAAAATTTTAATTTTTTCTTTTGTATTTTATATTTTTTTAACAATTTGTATTTTATGTTTTCGAAATTGAGAATTTTAGAATATAAATTAGGTAATCTCTTAATGTCTAATGGACACAGTTTGCAGTTCCTGCTTGATCTTTTCCTTTCATTCCATTCACCCCTTCTTATCCTCTCTGGTTAGATTTTCTCACCTCTCCTTTTCATTCGCTTCACATGTATTTAGTCTCCTCCTTTGACAGATGTCTGTAATTGAGCATCAAAGCCTAGCAAAGCTGTAGAGGATCAAGGAGAAAGAAATCTCCCATTCTGACTCCTGTTAGGGATTTTTTGGATGCCTCAAACTTCCCAATGGTCTCAGCCCACATATGTCCGATTTTTCTGGATTTAGAAATCTTTTTGTGTTGGAGACTTAGATAAAAATTTAACATTTGTCAAAATAAATAATTGTAATGTTTTTGTCATTAGGATGATTGTATACAGTTTAAATGCGCTGTGTGTGACTCTTTGTTTTCAGGATACAGCACCATGAGTCCGCAGGAGGACAGCGAGAATCCGCCCGGGAACAACGACCCGCTCTCAGCGGGTGTTGACGTCGGTAACCACGACGATGACATGGACTTGGACACGCCCCCTCAGACAGCAGCACTGCTGAGCCACAAGTTCCACCCATACCGACACGTGCACACCCACCACCACCCGCTGCACGCGCAGACGCACCACCTGCAGGCCGCCGTGACGGTACACAGCGTGGACGCAGAGTGCTGATGCTCGGCGGGACTCAGCGAGATTTTGGCAAAGACTATTTTTGTACAACGTTAGATTAATGAGACGATCCACACTGTGTACTTGGAGGTTCAGATGACTTGAGGAGGACTAACACAGCTGGACCGAGGCCTTCAAAGCTCCTCGGATTCACAATGCGCCAACATGCCAGCATATTTCCTCTCATCCACCCTCCTTTTTATTTCTAATTCAACCTCCTTTTCAGTTTTGCAGTCTCACGCACATCTGTGGGCAGACCTGGGCCAGTACATTCTAGTTTTCCCTTTGAAGGATTCAGAACTCAATTTAAATGAGAGCACAATAAAAAAAAACGGAGCCTAAAAACTGAACAAAAACAAAAAAAACGTTGTTTTTCAAGGCTGATGGAATGAATGGAAGACTGAATTAACCATTTAGATGGGGTATTCACTGCAAATCCAGCCCCTCATGGGAAGCGCCCCGGCCAAGAGGTTCTGTAAGGAAACGGAGGGCTCTTTGGATTTGTAAACCAGTGCCGCATTTCCTCAAAACAGAAAAATATCTAATTTTCCTCCCTAACAAGGGACTGCATCTAGTTGGACTCAAACATAGCTTTTAACTTGTAGTCTCTGAGATAATCTCTGCAGAGTTGGTTTATCTAGAAGTGGCAGCCTTTCTCTAAAGAAGCAGCGGTTGGTCTCATCCAGCATGCTGCAGGAGGATACTGGAACCCTTTTATGAATGTTTGTGAATAATAACATAGGAAAAACAACACTTTCATGTTTCACTTAAACACAGAAAAAAACTACAATATTATTTTCTACTATTTATTAAAGAGGTAGATCTTCAAAATGGTTTAAAAAGCAATGGGTAAGTAAGAGATCTTGCAAAAAGCTTGTCTGATTCAAGGCTTATTGTTTTGTTTTTGTTCTTCTCTATCTAAAAATATTATTGCCTCTTCAATTTTCTGCAATGTATGATATAAATAATGCAACAAAATGAGTTTTAGGTCTTATTTCAATGTGGTGGGATTATGAGGCTGTCCAGGGAATGAAATCAGTTCAAGATGGGGTTTTTTTTGCCTTATGAAACCTCTTCAATTCGAGATGAAAAATTTGAACTATTTCCGAAACAGAACAAGGATGAGATCTTTTATCGTTACAATAAATAATGAAAAAAAAAATTACATTAAGGTTTAAGTGCAGATGCTGAGAGAAATTTGTGAGATTAAAATAATTATAAAAAGTGAAGACAATGAGCCTTAAGTCACATCTTTTTTAAGAGCTCTGATTTATGACATGTAGCACGTCTCTTAGTTCTCAGAGATTAGTGTTTTCTTTAGATGAAGATTTTTGTTTTACCAAGGTGGAAAATTATTCTGCACAAGGGAGACTGATGATTTTTTGCTTGGGTTAACTTTTGGGAGATGGAGGAGTAATAACTGAAGCAAGCACCAGCAAAAAGAAACATTCCTGGGTTGAATCACCTTCTGTCGCGATGAGAACCGAGGATCCTTAAAGGGGTCCTTGCAAAGACGGACCATTTTCTGTCCTGGGTAGGAAAACAGGACGGGACGTTGCTTTACTAAACCTTTTTGCCTTCGAGGCAAAGCTGATGATGCGTAGGAAGTTTGGATATTGTGCAACAGCATCCATGGTGACAGACTTCCTGTCTGAGAGGAGGGAAAGAGGTTTACACCCGTCTGTCATCTCCTCTGGGATTAACCACTTTAAATTGATCTTCTATACCTGTGTGTGTATTAAGGATGAGAGTGTGCGATGAATGTCTGATCCTCCACCTGAAACACTTTCCTTGAAAACATTATTTTTTTAAAATTGTGTTAGAAAATTATAGGTGAAGCTATTATGTTTGGAAAAATGAGTCGCTTCTTGACCTGATCAGGGCTCTGAGGGGTTTTTTGATCGTTCAGCTGATCAAATGGCGTCTTTGTGGCCTTTTTACGAGAGCCAAGACATCTATCGTTCTGCAGAGATTCATTCTAAGGTGTAAATACAGAGTCATACGTTAAATGTCCTGCACACTCATTTTAAAAACAAAGGTTGATATTCAGATATTAAATTGTCTGTTCATGGTGTCTCTCTATATTTCTGATGCCTTGAATGTTTTTGTTTTGTTTTTTTACTTTATTTTTTAAGGCTTTTTCTTTAGGTCCATATTGGATGGAAGTCAGTACTTGGAAATTTTAATACACGGTTTATGTTTCAGAGAATTGTAGTTTTTAAAGGTTTATTATTGTGTCTTTGAAAACTATGTTTTAAAAAGGAACTCTTTTCATTTTAATTAGATTTGACCACACCCAATGTGTCTACTTTAAGATATCATCATGCAGACATTTGAATTAGTTGCATACTTTTTATTTCTATGGAAACAAAAAAAAATTATCTCCAGAAGTGTTCAATGTTTCATTCTAGTGGAGCAGATATAAAAGTTGTTTTTCTTCTTCTTTAAACTAAATCCTTCATTGTTTTGTTGCAGCAGAGCTTTGAAGCAGTATTTTGCAGCTCTTTAAAAAATAAGTATATAGGTGTTTATACAGAACACTGATTTACAAGTTATTGACTGAAGGAATATGTGTACGTCCCCCATCCCCTCCCCCAATGTATCGTATAAAGTTATCAACTGAGATTAATTGCAATGTGAATGTGATAAAGAACATTTTTCACTTAAACTGTCTTTTTGTGATTCCTAACAGAGTACCGGTATATAGAACATGCAACGTAGAGGTAGACAGGATTATTATATTCTAATTGGAAAACAAAAACAGCCTGTATACATGTAGGCCAAGGGTTGCATTGATTTGTGCTTGGTTTTTTTTTGGGGTTTTTTTTGCATGGGCTCCTTCTGGATACTGCAGCCTCCTAATGGTCCAAAATCATCCTAGTTTAGTCTAGTTCTAAATCAAAACTACTAGAAATGAACATGCTAGATTCGAGGTTAAGAGGTTTCCCTGGTAATAAAAGTAGAAAATGCTTTAGTGCATCAAGGCGGTGCTGGAGGACGAATCAGGAGGGGGAGATTTAGAGCATCTACGTACGCATATTGAACGAAAACACTCGAGTAATGAGATTTTTCTTTTCACCTGGACAGCCACAGAAGGACGCAAATGGCTTTGTAATGCCCTGACCCCCCGAACTTACTCTGTAACCCATATTAATCACTCAAAAACTGAAGCTCATACTAAAACTAATACGACGAACTTTCCTGCTCCTTTAAGAGTAAGCTCTCTCAGTAAACTGTTTATCTTGCTTGTTTACTTTGAGCTCATTAATGAGCACAGAGTTTAAAACATTCAGGCATGTTCAGCCAAACTTTAACTTCTGAGTTTGGCTTACTGTAAATGTATTTCTGAGACAAAACCTAAATACAGGCAGTCACATACTATGAAATATTTTAATAATTGTTTTTCGAACTGTGGTGTATTTTAAAAAAAAGATTGGTTTAAGTATACACAAAATTTAAGTTGTTCACAATTTTATCCTGAACACACCCTCTTAACAGTGACACGGTGGTGGAGGCCTCATTTTGTGGGGACACCTTTTCAGCAGAGATGAGGAGCTGATCAGGGCCACTGAGATGAATTTATGTTAAAGGTGGTTGAACCTGTCAGCAGGAAGTCCAACTCTTAGATGTTTCACCTCTACAAAACACCTGATGAAAGGAATAGCTTGTTACCAGATGTATGCTGAGCTGAATGACTGTGAATGAAGGTTTTCCTCGTTTGATGTATCTGGGGTCTCTGGTACTAAAGCTAAGAACATTTTTTGGAGGCAGCAGAATGGAGAAGACATTCACCTTCCAGCAGGACATAACCATAAACATGTGACTGAAAGTACAGCAAAGCATATTCATGTTTTTGGATGGTCCAGTCAATGTCAAAATCCATCTCCTAATTCACTTACAGCATATTTCTCTTATATAGTGACAAATCAGATTTTAAGATGCCAAATTATGTATTAAACCTGTAAGGAAAAAAAGTCCAGAAAAAACATTTTTATATTTTTTCCCCAGCATTTTATTGTCATTACACTGTCACAAGTACAGAGCGATGAAATAGACTCTGGATTAAACCCATCCACCTGAGGAGCAGTGTGTTTCCATTGTGTGGCACCCAGGGGGCAGTGTGGGGTTAAGGGTCTTTTGCTCAGCGACCCAGCGTGGCAGTCTGGGAGTGGGGCTGGAACTATAGACCTCTGGATTCCGAGCGCAATACCCTAACCACTAGGCCACTCCCCACTCATAATATAATAAAGCGACATACACCAAGCCACAAAATGGCCCCTAAACACTATCACTACACACTAACCTTCCGTTTGCACTTTCCTGTGAGGGTTAGGGCCGTCCCAAAGCATGTAGTGGATCAACACCTGCATTTACGTTGATGTTCCACTTCTTGCTGCATCTTTGTCACATTGACAGAGAATCACTTGTCAGGAAGAAGAGAAAGACATTCATTCCAAAAGAGAAGGTCTTCCTTGAAATAGAAAAGAAAGTGAGACTAAATGTTTGCATATAAGGCCAGGGAACAGCTTTTGATGTGTTTGTTTGGAAGATAATGGAGCCGATGCATTTTTGGAATCAAACGGCCTATTTGAAGAAAGGGAGAGTGGGGATGGCTGCAACACTTTCTCATTGGTTTATGGTTTTATGATGACAATATTTGAAAAAGTAATAACATACACATCCATACAGCCAATATGTTGAACCTTAATATGAGGAACATTTGAAAAGGAGTTTTTTATTTTGCAAAATATCTCCATGGGGACAGTTGTAACCTGTGTCATAGAGCTAAAACAATGTATATGGGACATCTCTGTGTTGCCAGAGCACCACTTGAGGAGGGAAGAGGGAGTCCCATTCTCATTTATACCCAGCACTTTTAATCAATGCGCCCTCCACAGCTGCGAGTTTGACTTTACTGGGAATGAAACATGATAGTGAAGGGGTAGTGCATGGTTTGCCACTGGGTCCAAGCAATCATTCTACTTGGTCCTTTTTGTGCCTGAAAAGACTTTTTGCACAGGGTGTGTTCAGTAGACAGAAACATTGTTGTAGACATTGCCATCAGCTAGTAGTTCTTGGTTGTGGGTTTTTTTTATAGCAACACTGGTTTGTTTTTGTTTTTTGGACAGTATGCTGACAGGAAAGGGGGGAAGACAGAGAGGAAGAGACATGTGGCAAAGGACTCCATACATGCCTCATCAGCTGGTAGTTCTTATACACTAAGCAGCTTCTGCAGCTGTAGCTCCTGCCTTAGTTAAAATAATAATAAAAAAAAAAAACATGTCCAAAAAAGAATTCTAAGTGCAACTCTTGCATGATTTTCTACCTTTGGTCATATACCATTGTTAAGATAGATGCTAAATATGCTGAAGTTTTCTTAGGAATACACAAATAAACAATATAATAAGCCAACAGGCTTAATATATAGGTGCCATGATTCAACTGGAAAGCCTTTTGATGTAACCAGAGCGAGCTATTGGCATATAAATACATCATAGTTGCAGCTATTTTTCCCAAAATATGTCAAGCGTTTCAGTCTCTAGATGTGAAAAGCTGCTTGAGATGGATTCTTACTGAATTAGACATAATTGTAATAAAAGTTTTAGATTAAACTGAAACAAGTGAGACTGCAAGCATTCAGATACCTGCAAGACTTAAAAGTTCTCTATCTAAAAAGATCTAAAAATTGTTTTCTGTCATTTTCATAATTCTTTATATGGATCTATCACGTGAAGTCCTGATAAAATGCAATAGTTTAGCTTAGCAGGTTTAAATACATTTGAGAGCAATGATGGGTTTTCTAGACAGTGCAAAAGTAGCTGTGATCACAAATATGGTGAAGACAATATTAAAACCCTCAGGTTTAAGTTCTGAAGTACAAAAGTTTACATCTTTACAAATTGTTAAATATTTTACTTCAGGCAATTTTAACATCACCTTATGAGAATGTTTCTCTGTACATCACCCGCAAATATTTCGTGAGGCAGGGAAAAAATCTGCTGAATGTTTTGTTTTCCTTCTTTTTGTCTGTATGTCTCCATTTCTGTCATTCCTGGCCAATGTTCACATTTCCTAACGGAGTGGAACTCTGAAGCCTTTCCAGCCTGTATTTTTCTCTCTGGTTCATGCGGGGACATTCAGGACACCTACACTCCAAAGAGCTGCTCTTCAGAGGCATGCTGGCCCTATTTGGAGAGTAGTGCTTTATGAGATGTGCATTTTTATTTATTTTTTTGTTCTTTACTGAGCCGGCAGAGCTTTCCAGTTAGGTTGTCAATGGTTTTCTCTCTTCATTTGCATAAATAGGGATCAGCCAGTTTACACCCAGTTGGAAGTCTAGTTATAATGAAATAGACATGTTTTGCAAAAGAAAAAAATAATGCAGCTACAATTAAATATGATTTACTGGCAAAATGTTAGGGCTTTTTAGGTGTTTTCATTAGTTAAACAAGAACAGTTTAAATCGTTGAACAAATTACTTACACAAGGCTTTTCCCAAGAGGTCAACCAATACAGGTTTTTTAAAGACCAAAACTGATTTTTTTGACATCAGTCTAATTTATCCCCATATGTGCTGCGATTTTGCTTTTCACAACTGATTTCATTATGTTTTTCTTTTGTTTTTCCACTCGCATAATAAAAATGACACAAAGATAACATATGTCACATAAGTCTCAATTTAAACAACAAAACACACACACACACACACACACACATATTTTTTTTAAGGCGTTATTCTCACGTAATCTCAATGCATTGTATCAGTTGATACAGAAAGGCACAAAGACAGAAAGGCTAATATTGACCTAAAGTGTTGGCTGGTGAGTGGATGAGTTTATCAGTGCATCTCTACTTTTAAACAAAGTAAACACTATTTTCAGTTACTTCCGCTAACTCATTATTATTAAAACACGAAATAGAGTCCTTCTGGAGACAGAACTGGTTCAGCCAATAAAATGCTCTATTGGTTGCATCAGGAAGAAGAACACCTTACAAACCTGAACTGTTGGTGAAATTTTATTACTTATTAGAAATATTGTCAAGCTTTTATAAAATGTCCAGAGAAGGAATAGGAAGCAGAAATAAAACAAAGGCCCTAAACGGACATGCCCGAAGACAAAGATATGTTGCTGCCGCAAAATTCCTGCAGAGGTAGAAGGTTCAAACCCTTAACATAACGCAGAAGACTTGCTGCAAGTCTTGGTGGCAGCAGCCACTACAGTTTTAATTTTTAATGAGATTCACTTATCAAACTACAAAGCGCTCCTTGCCTGGACTTCAAGACTCAAAACATTTCCTGAACCCAAAAACATAAGAAAATAATACTGAAATTTTTGATTGATGGTCATAGACAAGCTATCTCTTCAGATACAGTTGTTTCAGTATAATCCTATGCCGTCTGTGAGGATATTGAATTTTGGGATTCATTTGACCTTCAAATGGGTCCATAAGTGTCCCATAAAGTCTTATGGTGGCAATCAGAGTCACCTGACATAAGATCTGTGGCTGCAGCTCCTTTTTCAGCGCAGAAAACATTTCAATATTGATTCAGCTGAGCAGGTTTGACAGCAATGACAGCTAGTTTGCACATGATTTTACTACTATTTGTCTACAAACCTAATTTGAAACATTTAAGGTAAAAATGCATTGATTTAAT